GTCCTGGAACTCACTCTGTAGACCAGGCTGGCCTCAAAATCACAGAGATCAGCCTGCCTCTGTCCCCCGTTCCCCCCCCCCCCAGTGCTGGGATTAAAGGCGTGCACCACCAACACCCGGCTCCTTTTTTTTGTTTTTTGTTTTTTGTTTGTTTGTTTGTTTTTCAAGAAATGGTTTCTCTGTGTAACAGCTCTAGATGTCCTGAAACTTACTTTGTAGACCAGGCTGGCCTCGAAATCACAGAGATCTGCCTGCCTCTGCTTCCCTCTCAAGTGTTGGGATTAAAGGCATGCACCACCATGACAGGTTTTTTGTTTGTTTGCTTTGTTTTCTGAGACAAAGTCTCAACTATGGGTCCTGGTACTCACTATATTGACCAGGCTGGTCTCAAACTCACAGAAAGCTCTGTCTGCCTCTGCATGTTGAACACTGGGATTAAAGAAATGCAACATCACACCCTGCCACAAAAGTCTAGAACCTAATTTGGTTTCTGGGCCTATGCTTGTCATATAAGAATACCCTGCCCCATTCACCAGGGTACTGGATAGGCAAAAGCATTAGACTTAGGCCATGCCACAGCAGTTAGCCCTCCTTAGCCTTAACTCCGTTTTCCTCACTAGATTGAGGAGCAAAAACCATACAAAACCACAGGGAGGCCGCCTGTTCAAAGGGTTCCCATGGTTTCAACCGACTTTTATTTGATTCCTCAAATTCTAAAGATCTTCAACCTGCATACATCTATCTAAAAAGCATTCGCTAAGACACTCTAGGAGCACATATGAAAGTAATTCCCCTAAATTTTCACCAGGACTGAATTATTTATCCTGAGTTCTAGGAAGGTACTCTATGAACTCATGTGGAATGAATTGCAGGCTAAATTGCTAACTGAAAACAAGAGAGTACAGAGAAATACACAGTGGTCCCCCCTTGTTCAGGGTCTGGCTTTATGTGGTTTCAGTTACACACAGTCAACTGCAGATGGAAAACATCAAATGAGAAATTCCAGAAACAATTCGTAAATCTTACTCACATGCCCTTCCCAGCAGTGAGATCACATCTGGAACTGTCGCCCCTGGACGTGAATGGTCCCTTCACCTGGTGTGTCTGCTTTGTACACCCTACCCACCCAATCTGGTCAACAGATAAGCTATCTCAAGATCACAGTGCTTGTGTCTAAGTCATCCTTATTTTGCTCGGTGATGGATAAATCACAAGAGCACTGATGATGTAAAGGAAGCACCCAAGCCGGGCGTTGGTGGCACACGCCTTTAATCCCAGCACTCGGGAGGCAGAGGCAGGCGGATCTCTGTGAGTTCGAGGCCAGCCTGGTCTACAAGACCTAGTTCCAGGACAGCCTCCGTAACCACAGAGAAGCCCTGCCTTGAAAAATGAGAAAAAATAAATAAATAAGAGGCACCAAACTACCAAACTATAAAACCTGGAAGGGCAATGAGCTCTGTTGGCGAACCCTGAAAAGCAGCAGGAGAGGGCAGCATGCAGAGACTGTGTCACTATCTACTGTTTCCTGCATACACTAGGACTGGGACTGTGCTCCCCACCCACAAGTGGGGGACTACTGTATGCAGTATGCTGTCTTATGTAAAAACAGAGCTGAGAAATAAGACTGTATATCTAACAAGTCTGAGGCCAGCCTGAGCTACATGAGACCCTGTCTCCAAAAAAGACCTTTAAATGCTTTCAGAAGCCATCACAATTGTCTGTCTGGCTATTGCTAAAACCATGCTTGGCTCTTTTTAGAAGCTCATGCCCATGTTTTGTGTGTGTACTGTCCTTTTCCTCTTCACTTTAAAGTGATATTAAAATTTTTTCTTAAAACCTCCAACTTTATCCAGGCATGGTGGCACATGCCTTTAATCCCAGCACCAGCACTTGGGAGCTGAGTTCAAAGCCAACCTGCTCTACAGAGCGAGTTCCAAGACAACCAGGGCCACACTAAGAAACCTTGCCTCAAACAAACAAACAAACAAACAAACAAACAAACAAACAAAAACTTCAACTTCGGTCCATCCTGACTCATCCTAAATTCTTTTTTTGCAGTAAAGAATTCTATCTTGAAAAAAAAAAAAAAAAAAGAATTCTATCTTGGCCTAAGTGGAGGTCTCTGAAAGAACTCCCCAGGCCAATATGGTAGCAACAAAGGAGTCTCCCATTCTTGGCAAGGTTCTTCCTGTTAGTATTAGGGCTTAGGGGCCATCAGAGGGTCAAAGAAAGCCTCTTCCAACCACCTGCATCTGACTGTCTATTAATTTCCCTAAAAATATTACCACTCACCGAGAGGCTCAATCAGGCCTGTTACAGATCCTGTATTATGAGACAAATGGTATTTGCTTTTTTAAATGTGATTATTGCTTTCATTGAGCTATACAAGAAAATCTAGGTTATTGCAGTTCCTGAGAGGAATGGCATAAGTCACCTGGCCCATGGCAGAGGGTTCATTAGTTTGCATATGAAAGGCTCATCTGAGGGTGGCTTTCTGTCTCTAGGAACCTAATAACACAGGGAGGAGCAGTCCCTCCCTATCCAGCGAGAGCTAAGATGCAAACGCCTCCCAGAAAACAGTAAACTGGCTGGTAGGGTGTCTGAAACACCCCAACCTCTCTCACACATGATACATCAGTAGCTAAACATTAGGGATACCCTGGTGGTCTCTGATTTATTGCAACCACTGTTTTGTATTAAGCATCCACTATGGGCTATTGCTTACAAAAGTAGTTCGACAGCCTGCTTCTCTTTTTATCTTCCTTCCTTCCTTTCTGTCTGAAACCGTAGCTCTTCCCACCAAAAGCACAGTCCCTTTCCTCACTTCTGCAAGCCATGGAGCATGTTATGGAAAATGGAACGCAGGGAGAGCTTCGATGGTTTGTTTTCAGCTGCTGTGATGAAACATTCTGACCACCAGGCAGTGGTGGGGCATGCCTTTGATCCTGGCACTCAGGAGGCAGAGGCAGAGGCAGGCGGATCTCTGTGAGTTCCAGGACAGCCAGGGCTACACAGAGAAACCCTGTCTCAAACAAATAAACAAACACATTCTGACCAAAAGCAACTTGGGAAAGAGAGGGTTTATTTGGCTTTGGCTTACAGGTTACCGTTCATTATCAAGGGACATCAGGGTGGAACTCAAGGCAGGAACTCAAGTGGGAACCATGGAGGGGTGTGGCTTACTGGCCTGCTTCCCATGGCTAGCTCCACCTGCTTTCTTAGAGAACCCAGGCCACCTGCCCAGGGGGGCTACTGTCACCAATGGGTGCGCCCTCCCATATCAGTCACCAATCAAGAAAACGCCCCAGACTTGCCTGTAGGCAAACCTGATGGAGGTGTTTTCACAATTAAGGTTCCCTCTTCTCAGATGAGCCTAGCCTGTGTCAAATTGACAAGAAGCAAAGCTAAGCCAATCCTCAGCGCAGTCTCAGGGAAAGACTACCTCCTGGAAGGAAGCCCCTCTGTCCCTGCTGGCCCCAGCTCTGCTGTTAGAGGTGTGGGTCTCCAGGGCGTTTGGTTTTGTTTTAGTGTGACCCTGGAGATCAAACCTGGGGCCTTGTGCTTCCTAGCCAAACACCCCCCCAGCTGAACCACATCCGGTCCCCTGATTAAAGGACGTCTAAGTAACTTCTTTCTTCAATAAAGGAGAGGACAGGGTGGCGCCTGGGGTACACTGAATGGGAGTACAGGGGTGAGATAAAACCACAGCTCACGAGCATCAGAGGAGTCTTCACTGTACTAGAACACCAGACAGCCGACGGTGGCTGGCTGGAGGCCCTCAGGAGGCTCCAAGCTCCCTCTCTTGCTGAGTATCTAAAAGCAGTCGTTGGCTGGGGGCAGGGAGACATTTCCTTCAGTGGTGTAGCTGTCAGCGATTCGCCCGCGCTGTTGTATATTACCCCTCGCCTGTGCTCCTATAATTAACCCTAATTAAATTCACCGGTTCAAAACCCCCTCCAAAAGAAGGCATGAGATGGGAGTGGCTAGCTGGAAGAGGAAGGGGATCAATGGGAGTGGGAGGGGGTTAAAAGGGAGTAGTGGGGGACTAGAGTAATGGCTCAGTGGTTAAGAGCACCGACTGCTCTCCCAGAGGTCCCTGGGGTTTGATTCCCAGCACCCACACGGCAGCTCACAACTGTAACTCCAGCTCCAGGGGATTTGACATCTTCACACAGACATATATGCAGGCAAAATACCATATTCACATAAAAATAAAAATAAAAAAATCTTTAAAATAAAAAAGGGTGGTAGGGGTGCATGTGATCTAATTGCATTATATACATGTGTAAAAAAGTCATAATGGAACTCAATGTCATATATAATTAATACATGCTAGTTGAGAACTTCAAAAAAGAAGCCAAGCCAGGGGTCTAAGGATATAGCTTAGTGGTAGAGTGTGTGTGTGTATGTGTGTGTGTGTGTGTGTGTGTGTGTACATGGAGGTCTGTAGAGTGTTGTCTTCCCACCAGCCTGGTTCCAGAGCCACACACAGGAGGCTATATTAATTATGAAGCTGTTGGCCGTTTGCTTTGTTTCTTACTGGCTAGCTCTGACTTAAACATTTAAGCCATAATTGTTAATCTAAGTATTTCTCTTACCAGAGAAAAGGGTCCGGACCTTCTTATTTTTACGGCGGCTACATGATGTCTGCCGGTGTCTCTCTTTCCCAGAATCCTCCTCAACTCCTAGTCCCACCTATCTTGCTTCCCTATTGGCCAACAGTGCTTTATTGGCATATACACAGGACTTCCCCATCAGAGGTCAATGATTACCCCCCTCTCTTTTTACCATGTACTGCCTCTGTGTGTGTGTCTGTGTGTGTGTGAGTGAGAATGAGTGAGTGTGAGTGTGTGTGTGTGTGTGTGTGTGTGTGTGTGTGTGTGTGTATACGGGGGTCAAAAGGCAACTTGCAGAGCAGATCTTCCTTCCATCATGTGGGTCCTGGGCTTGGTGGTAAGTGATCTTGCCCACTAAGCCACTTCCCCAGCCAGCATGGTTACCTCTGCACGGTGGTACTCTGGCTGATTGTGACTTTCATGATGCATTTGCATCGCACCAGCTACCTTTCCAGACAAGGAAGTCAGCTGGGAGGATTCAGCTCACAGTCAAAGGTTTCAATCCGTGTTCACCTTGGCCTTGCTGCTTCCAGACCTGTGGTGAGGCGGGACATCCTGGTGGGAGCATTTGGTGGGGCAAAGCTGCTCCACGCACGGCAGTCCAGATGCTGAGAGGCAAGGAGGAGAGGAAGGAAGGAAGGGCATAATATGACCGTCAAGGGCACGCCCTCCGACGGTGGCCCAGTTCTCAGTTCCCACCATCTCCTAACAGTCCACGATGCTTTGAATCCATAAATGTATGAATACATCCACGAGGCCAGAGTCCTCAGATCTAATCTGATTCCAGAGGCCACGCCTTTGAACACTGCAGATATGGTTCAATGGTTAGGAGCACTTGCTGGTCTTGTTCAGAACTCAAGGTGGTTCCCAGCACCAAACAGTGGCTCACAACCATCTGTAACTCCAGTTCTGGGGGATCCAGTGCCCTCTTCTGGCCTCTGTGGTCACCTACATGCACATGGTGCACATAAACTCATGAAACTACTCATACGCACACAATAAAAATAATTTTTTTGTTTTTGTTTTTTGAGACAGGGTTTTTCTGTGATGCAGCTCTAGCTGTCCTGTAAACCAGGCTGGCCTCAAATTCACAGAGATCCACCTGCCTCCGCCTCCTGAGTGCTGGGATCACATTTTAAAATGAAAATGAAGCTGTAATCCCAGCACCTGGGAATTTGAGGCAGGAGGATCAGGAATTTCAAGCCACCCTGGGCTACATCCTGAGGCCCTGAATAAAAAAGACAAATAAATAAACCCTGAAGCAATTTGCAGAAGCTGTAAATGTTACTTAAAATGAAATTTATACTTTGGCCATATGCCAATAAAATTAAAAAGAAAATCACTACATATGCCACAAAATATAAATGAGTTTTATTTATGAATGAATTGATGCATAGCAAATAGAAAAAAATGACACTAGAAGAATATATACCATAATCAGGCAAAGCTTATCACAAGAATTTAAGGATGTTTTAATATTATAAAAATCTTTAATGCAATCAATTATGCAAGTGATTAAAATATTACTACATTTACAGATTGAGTCATATCACACTTTCAAGCTTCCAAGAAATAAGGATAGAGTATTTCGTTGGTCTTTTATCCCAGCACTCTGGAGGCAGAGGCAAGTGAATTTCTGTGAGTTCCAGGGCAGCCTGGTCTACAGAGTGAGTTCCAGCACAGGCAGTGCTACACAGAAAAACCCTGTGTGGAAAAACCAAAAAAAAAAAAAAAAGCATAGAGCATTTCTCTTATCCTAGTAAAGAATTTAAAACTAACAACTAACTATATTTAATGAGGAGCTATGAGGAGCTGTCAAAAATATTTTCTATTTGTATTTAACATAAGATGATAGAACTATGTAACAAATCACTTTGTAGCTATGATTTTATATTCAGGTAAACAGGCTAGCTACAGCTATTACAACTGACAAGTCACCCAAAGGTAAGTATCTCAAGACAGTGTTTCAAAGAGATCCCCACAAGGGATAGCAACACAAAACAGTCAAGGAAGAATGAGCATAAAGGATTTATAAAAAACATAGTGAAGCTGGGTGGTGGTGGCACACACCTTTAATCCCAGCACTCGGGAGGCAGAGGCAGGCGGATCTCTGTGAGTTCGAGGCCGGGCTGGACCGACAGCCTCCAAAACAATACAGAGAAACCCTGTCTCGTAAAACCAAAAAAAAACAAAAAACAAAAACATAGTGAGGAAAACCAGGACAATGGAGGGAAGATGGGAAACTCCACTTCATAAAAACAGGCTGACTTTAGACTCTGATAATTCCATTGTTTGCCTTATAGAGCACCCCCATTAAGAAAACAAAAAATGTTGAGTTTTGATTTTTTGGGGTGGTTTTTTTTTTGCTTTGTTTGTTTGGTTGGTTGTTTTTTCAAGACAGGGTTTCTCTGTGTAGCTTTGGAGGCTGTCCTGGAACTTGCTGGGTAGACCCGGCTGACCTCAAACTCAGAGAGATCCACCTGCCTCTGCCTCTCAAGTACTACGATTAAAAGCAGGCACCACCATCGCCTGGTAAATTTTGTTTTTTTAAGTAAAGGACCTGAGCCAAGTGTGGTGATGCACCCCTTTAATCCCAAGCAGATCTCTGGTCTATATAATGAGGTCCAGGCCAGCCAGAGCTACCGTGAGAGCCTGATTTAAAAAGATTTTAAAAAATAAAGGTAAGCAAGACAAACAAGAAGAACAAAAAAAAAAAACCAAAACCAAAACCAAAAAAACCCAATGAAGAGCAGCATATACTGACAACAGATTCAGTATTTGACAAAAAACATCCTAAGTTCTATGTGTCAGAATTACCATGAGGAGCAAACGTTTTTTGCTCAAAACCAAAGCTTTGGAATGTGAGGTATGGGGAAATCACCTGTCTGAGGTCTGTTGAGAGAAGCCTTTTCCTTTGGTTTGTCCCCACCAGTCACCTGGGCTCTGCCACGTTGCAGTCCCCAAATGAACACACAGGACGCTGTATTAATTATGAAGCTGTTGACCTTGCTTGTTTCTTACTGGCTAGCTCTGACTTAAGTAATTACCCCATAATTGTTAAGTATTTCTCTTACTGGAGAAGTTTCCGGGCTTCGTACCCCTATGGCGGTTACATCTTGACTCCTTGTGTTTCTCCTACCCAGAGTCCTCTTGGACTCCTAGTCCCACCTATCTTGCTTCCCTATTGGCCAACAGTGCTTTGTTGACATATACACAGGATTTCCCCATCAGAGGTCAGTAAGGGCTACTGAGTATCATGATGATTATAATCTTGCTGGGCTTTGAGGCAGGCAGAGGGAAGTAGGGGTGGCATTTACAGAAGAGGAGACATCATTTAAACTGAGAGTCCAGGCCTGGGTCTGGGCCTGGGCCTGAGCTGGCAGAGGGCTTAGCTAGCATGATGAAGTCCTGTCTTCAACACAAAGCACTACATAAGTGGAATGTGGTAGTGAACACCAGTAATGTCAGCACCCAGGAGGCCCTTTGCTTCAGCACTGTATCTCTTAACTTCATTCGTCCGCCATGGGGTAAGCACCAGTCTTGGTCCAGCAACAATTACCAAAGATCACTTCCGTGCTTCGGGTACAGCTCAACAGTAGAGCACCTGTCTAGCATGGGTAAGCCCATACCCAGTATCACAAATACACACAAAAAGACAATTTTGTAGTTACAATGGAGTATTATAGACTTGAATGAAACGTTCCAACAATGATTACAGACCAATAAATGTCATATATAAGAGCACAATAGTGATATACATAAGAAAACAATAACAAAAATGTCTACCATGTCTATCAATGTAAAGGGTATGCATTGAGCTATACCATTCCATTAAGGACTTAGGAGAATGACAAAGCATAAATGATAATAATAAGAAGTGCAACTTATTTTTGAGACAGGGTCTCACTATGTAGCTCTAGCTAGCCTGGAACTCACTATGTAGATCAGGGTAGCCTTGAACTCAGAGATACTTGCCTGCCTCTATCTCCGTAGAGCTGGGATTAAAGGCGTTCACTACTGTGACTGACCTGCAAGTTTAACCCCAGGACTTTGTCTCACCTGGGCAAGACTCTGGGTTTGATTCTAGCACACACACACGCACACACACTCACACACACACACACGCACACACTCACATACATTCACACACGCACACGCACACACACACACACTCACACACACACACACACAACAAATACCACCAGGAAAAAAGTCACAACTAGAAATTTAAAAAGAAAGAAAGAACATAAAACACAATTTGAAGCCGGGCGTTGGTGGCACACGCCTTTAATCCCAGCACTCGGGAGGCAGGCGGATCTCCGTGAGTTCGAGGCCAGCCTGGTCTACAGAGTGAGTTCCGGGACAGTCTCCAAAGCCACAGAGAAACCCTGTCTCGAAAAACCAAAAAAAAAAAAAAAAAAAAAACCCACAATTTGAGAAATACTGCCGTTGACAACCAAAGCTCAAAGACCTAGGTTGATGAGTTTCAGGTCCATTACGAGGAAAGTGAGTTTTCAATTGGAAAGGACATTTTTACAACCCTCCTCATCATAAAAGTTTCTCTAAGTAGTATATGCCCGGCCTAGACACAGGTGGAGAGGGGCCTTGGTCCTGCCTCAGAGAGATGATGGGGCAGACTTAGTAGACTCTCCATGGAGCAGATGGAAGGGGAGAGGAGTGAGGGGAGCAGGAGGAGAAGGGGGGGACCGAGATTGGAATGTAAAAAAATGAATTAGTAAAAAAAGAGATAAAAGAATGGTGTGTTGAAAAACATATCATTTTCTAAGCATGTATGAGGTCCTGGCTTTGATCCTTAACACCGCAAGGAAAATAAAAGAAAAAAGTTTCTCTAAATAAGGTAAGTTTGACATGATAAGAACTCACAAAATCGCCCCTATTTTTCAAACATCATATTACGGAATCGCAAACCCTTCTCTTTATACAACGATATCGAGTAACATGACCACAACAAATATCTGCAAATCACATGATGAAAAAACAGTCCAATGAGTGGAGGAAGGGAGGATGGAGGGAGTGACCTTGAAATGGACCTTGAAATGGATGGATATATATATATGTCCCCGATGGTTTGTCCCCATCCCCAGAAGAGACAGATACAACCGAAGGAAGGAGTGAACTACATACACATCCTTCAAGATACAGCAACTGGGAGGAGAAATGGTTGGGGTAAGGTGAAAAACTCCGGTGAGAGCCCAAAGATTAAGAACTGTGACACTGGCTAGAGAGGGACCCATAAAGTTGAACACCATCAACGCAGCGTGGATGGCGGCACAGAGGCCCCAGCAACAAACTGCAACAAGAAAATCCACAAAATCAAGACACACGTAAAGCAGGGGCAGGGGAGACTGCTCATCCACCCCGACACTTAAAGAAATGTGTATCAAAAGACAGCACTGTCTGGCACTGTCTGGCACTGTCTGGCACTGTCTGGCACTGTCTAGAACTGTCTAGAACTGTCTAGAACTGTCTAGCACCTATGAGCCAAGCAAAGGTATGGAATGACTCTTAAACTCAGTAAAAAATGAGACACGAATACATCTGATACAAAGTGAGACATTCCAACATGAGGAAGACAATTAAACTATATAAACAATTCAGTGCAAAAGGGATTATGTATAAACCAAACTAACAAATAATACGCAGAGGGTGCAAACTCTGTGATGTCTACAATGCAAGCTGTGTGAATGGAGTCTAGAAAGTGCCAGCTGACAGAGGAGGCAGCAGGAGCCTGCCCTCCATCCTGTGGCTGGAAAGGCACATAGGAACTGCAGGCAGAGGCTACACCTTCAGGATTTGCCCTGGACTGAACCCCTGCTGTGCTCAGATTTTTACCCCCTCTTTGCCCGCTCCAGATCCAACCTCATTCACAAGTGTACATTTGTTTCCACCCTGGGCTCTCGCAATCAGGGATGAGATAGGTATTAAAGTTGCCAGTGTTATTAAGTAAGGGAAGAGAGAATGGCTACAAACTCCAGCTCAGCCGAAGTCTTGCTTCTGACCCTCCAAAACAGACATGCTGCTTCTCACTTCCTCCATGCTCCTTAAGGTTTACTGGGCCTTCCGGGGCGATTGAGCAGGGGCGGGGGCGAGAGGCCTGGCTTCTCCAGCCCCGGCCCCAAGAGTCCGTTGCTTCTCAATGCCTTGTGAGTGCTCAGCAGAGGCCGTGCTGTCTGAAAGGAAAAGAGAGAGATGAGCTTTCTGTTTTAATTTTACGTTGGGAGCACCATGGGAGGGGGTGGGGTAGACCAGATCTAAACAATAAATAAACAAATACATACATAAATATATACATAAGCAAGCATTCAAAATGACTAAGTGGAAGATATTTCTGATATTTAAATTTGGTGGGAAAAAAAGAGACAGTAAGCTAATGCCATTTTACCCACACCCAGATCGGCACTTGCATGCAGAGTTACAACAAAGTGGATCCCCATGCAACTTTGTGGTGTTTGAGTAAGAATAGGCTCCCTAAGCTCCTATATTTGACTTCTTTGTCACCAGGCAGTGGAACTCTTGGATGACTTTAGAAGGATTAGGTGTGGTCATGTTGCAGGAGATGTGTCCCTGGGAGTGGGCTTTGAGGTTTCGAAAGTCCAGGCTAGGCCCAGTCTGTATCGCTCTCTCTTTGTTTCTCTCTCTCTGTGTCTCTCTGTCTCTCTGTCTCTCTCTCTGTCTCTCTCCCTCTCTCTCTCTCCCTCCTCTCTCTCTCTCTCTCTCTCTCTCTCTCTCTCTCTCTCTCTCTCTCTCTCTCTCTCTCTCTCTCTGCCTGTGGATCAGGATGTAGCTCTCAACACTTCTCCAGCACCAAGCCGGTGGCACCTGCCACCAAGCCCCTTGCAATGATAACAGACTAAGTCTCTGAAACTGTAAGCAAGACCCCAATTAAAAGTTTTCCTCTAGGGGCTGGAGAGATGGCTCAGTGGTTAAGAGCACTGGCTGCTCTTCCACAGATCCTGAGTTCAATTCCCAGCAACCACATGGTGGCTCACAACCATCTGTAATGGGTCTGGTGCCCTCTTCTGGTGTGCAGGTAGAACACTGTATACATAATAAATAATAAAATCTTTATATATATATAAAAAGAGCTGCTTTAAAAAAAAGTTTTCCTCTATAACGGTCACCTCGGTTATGGTGTCTCTTCACAGCAATAGAACAGTGACTAAGACAAACTCCAAAAGAAGTGTTTGCTTACTTTAAGAGTATGAGCGTTTTGTCTGACGTATGTAAGTGCACCATGTGCATGCATGCAGTGACTGCTGAGCTCAGAGGAGGGCGTCAGATTCCCACAGACGTGGAGTTAGGTTGTGAGCCACCATGTGGGTGCTGGGAACCGAACCTGAGTCCTCTGCGAGAACAGTAAGTGCTCTAAACAGCCCAGCCATCTCCCCAGCCTTCCTGAGACACGCAACTTTATTTCTAGTCTGTCGCCGTAATGTGGCCAGAATGACTTAAACAGGAATACTTCGGTTTGAGTTGACGGAAGAAAACCACATGTGCATTTTCTTCCCCTGCCATCTCCCCCCCACGTTCCCAGATGAATTATTAAGATGAGTCTACCAAATCATTGACCCCCAGTTTGTCCAGAAGCTACCATGTTCAAATATGTGGGCAAGTTTTCTAACCTGGCAAAATCTCCCCTCCTTTGGTCAGAATTGTATTTTCATATCATAAAATGTTAACTGGGGCTACAGAGATGGCTCACTGGCTAAAAGCACTTGCTGCTGAAATCCAGGGCCTGAGTGCAGCACCTACATTAAGCGGTTCATAGACCGCCAAAGCATCTGATGCCCTCTTCTGGCCTCCTCTGGCACAGGCGCGCACACGCACGTGTACACACACACACACACACACACACACACACACACACACACACACACACCTTATAATAATGAAGTAAAATGTTGACAGTCCTAACATTCCCAAGGGAAAGGTTTCAATTAGCAAATGAAAAGGACCAGGCGTTGGTGGTGCATGCCTTTAATTCCAGCACTCAGGAAGCAGAGGCAGGCGGATCTATGTGAGTTCGAGACCAGCCTGGTCTACTGAGCGAATTCCAGGACAGCCTCCAAAGCAATACAGAGAAACCCTGTCTCGAAAAACCAAAAAACTAAAACAAACAAACAAAAACCAAAGCAAATGAAAAGGGTTGTCTCCAACCTCGCTTCCAGGCCACTCACTGCTCCTCTTACTACACAGAGCAGGACCTTAGCACAGCGCCTCACTTACACAGAGCAGGACCTTAGCACAGCGCCTCACTTACGGTTCTCTGCCTACCTTCATCTTCAGGCATCTTGTGCAGCTTCATATGCTTGTAGACAGAGATTATCTGGAAGTTCACGACACTTGAAGCACTTAGCTCTTGGTCCTCTAGCAACTTCAGGGTGGTGGCCTGAATGAGCTTGTGGGACCGCTTGCAGGTCTGAAGTGTACATTCGCCCCGGACAAAGGATTTGCACACATGAAACTTATTGCATTTATCCTTGAGGTTGCAGTAGCCATAGAGGACGTCACCACCTTTGTTGTACAGCAAACAGACCTGGGGCGGAAAGGAGGCAATGCTTGAGATACGAGTTTTCACTACTAAGCTAATAAACTGTAACTTCTTTTTTTTTTCCTGGTTTTTCGAGACAGGGTTTCTCTGTGGCTTTGGAGGCTTCATAGACCAGGCTGGTCTCGAACTCACAGAGATCCGCCTGCCTCTGCCTCCCCAGTGCTGGGATCAAAGGCATGCGCCACCACTGCCCAGCAACCTGTAACTCCTTTAACGAAATTAGTTTAATGGCATCTTTGGGGGAGGCGTGCATGTGTGTGCACGTGTGTGCACACAAGCATGTGGAGGTCAGAGGTCAACACTGGGTGTCTTCCTTAGATTACCCTCCACTTTATTTTTTTGAGACCTGGTCTCTCATGGTACTTGGAGCTCACAGATTCAGACAGGATGGCTGGTCGGCAGGCCCCATGGGTTCTCCTGGGGTCCCCTCCGCCCCAGCATTATGATTATAGAATATCCCACCATTACGTGTGCATGTGTGAATTATGTGTACATGTGCAAGTCTGTGCAGGGGTACATGCATGTGAGTACAGGTGCTCACACGGGCAAACTCATCAGATCCTCTGGAGCTGAAGTGACAGGTAAGCTGCCCGACCTGAGTGCTGTCTAACAACACGCATGAAGTCCTGGGTTTGATGCCCAGCACCGCACAAGACTGGGCAATCCTGGCCCATGCCTGTAATCATATGAGGGAGATGGGGTTGGGGGGCAGAAGTGGCCCCAAAAGCGGGTTTTATGCCATGCGGGGGGCTGAACTTAGGGCTTTACCCATGCTAGGCGAGCGCTCTAGGAGCTGAGCTTTGTCTCTGGCCCTTACGTTTTGTTTTGTTTTGCTTTGCTTTGTTCTGAGACGAGGCCTGTGGTTACCCTTTTGCCTTAGCTGAGTGCTAAGATGACAAGAGAGAGCCACCAAGCCTATATTTTCCTTTTCTGAGGAACCTCCACACTAGGTTGTACAATGGTCATGGTAATTTGTATTCCTAACCAACAATGTTTGCGAGTTCTTAGCATCCTTGCCACATTTTATCTTGGTTTGAGTTTGGTTCGTGGTTTGCTTTATTTTCAAGTCAAGAGCTTGCTATGTAGCCCAGGCTGGCCCCAAACCTGCAACCCTTCTGGCTTAGCCTCTGGAAAAGTACAGGTTTGCACCATTGTACTCATCTGATTTTTATTCTTCTTGATCTTTACCGGGGCAGTGTTCAAGACAGAGTTTCTCTGTGTAGTCCTGGAACTTGCTTTGTAGAGCAGGCAGGCCTCAAACTCAGAGATCCGCCTGCCTCTACCTCCCAAGTACTGGGACTAAAGGCTTGTGCCACCACCGCCCAGCAAATACATCTAAGTTTTAAAGTTTATTAATAAACTCTACTTCATATGAGCTCTCCCTAAAATTCTTTTCTGCACTGAAGCCAGGGATCTGATTATGTGAGTTGTGATCCCTCAAAGATAAGTGAATGTCTCACGTTATAGAGGGGGACATCCTGGAGCTATGTGTCTGTCCCTCCTGCCTCTGACAGGAGTGTCTATGATAGAACGATCATGCCAGATTAAAAGACTTTTTATTGGGCCAGGTGGTGATGGCCCATGCCTCTAATCCCAGAACTCGGGAGGCAGAGGCAGGCGGATCTCTGTGAGTTCGAAGCCAGCCTGGTCTACAGAGCGGGTTCCAGGACAGCCTCCAAAGCCACAGAGAAACCTTGTCTCCAAAAACCAAAAGAAAAAAAAAACTTTTATTGGTATTCTCATAAATTTTCATTTGAGATTACTATTTTGTTAACAAATTCTTCACATAAATAGAAACATATGTGCAAATTTTTATTTATTTATTTTTGTTTCATGTGCACTGGTCTGATGCCCTGGAACTGGAGTTATAGACAGTTGTGAGCTGCCATGCGGGTGCTAGGAACTGAACCCAGGTCCTTTGGGAGAGCAGCCAGTGCTCTTAACCACTGTGCCATCTTTCCAGTCCCACAAATATGCCAGTTTTACCAGTACAGCAATTAAAGGGGGAACCTTTTGAGTATCTAGAACCAAATCATACTGCTTCAAAGCAATTAAAACTCACATCTAAAGTGATGATGGGAGATGGTTGTCTGTAACCTCAGCACTTGAGAGTGAACTAACAGATGAGTAGCCTTGACCCCATAAAAAGCTCACTGCCAGCCTGAGCTACGCAAGATCCCATCTCAACAAACAAAAACCATCCAAAGACTAGAAGTGTAAGAGCAAGGTAGCCTGGAGAGGCTGGAGTTAACTCCATCCTCAGAAAAAGCCACCTTGAGAAATTCCCTGCTTGGCAAAAGGCTGATTCAGCTCCAGCCAAGAAACCATAAACACTTCCAAGGAGCACCCAAACGTGCCCAACCCAAAGTGACCCCATCCGGGTGGTCAGGCAATGACTAATTTTGGTAAATAACATCTTCTTCTCGTCACAACTAGAAATTCCCCTAGACCCCAGTCAGTGACTCCAAAGGTCACCTACTCTTACCCAATCCTGAGCAGCCAAGGCACATCCCTGCTTTTTACCTTTAAAAACCCCTTACAGTTGAGGCCAGGCGCCCTTTTCCTGCAGCTGCTGTTCCAGTTTGCAGGACAGGGTCCCTGCCGAGGCTTGTAACTTAACGTAAAACCTTATGCATTGGTGTCAGTGAGTCAGCTCCTAGGTGGTCTTTTCCAGCACTGGGAAGCAAGGTAGGCTGTTCCAGGACAGCCAGAGTTACAGAGTTACAGAGTTACAGTCTCGAAAAAATGAAAAGGATCAGTGAGAAAGAGTTGCCAGAATTGTGGGTAGGGCAGTGGCGCCTCAGAGACTCACCTCTGGGAAAAGGCAGGGGTCATTCTGCAAAAGCAGGATTCGAAGCTCCGCTTCGTTTAGGCCAAAAAGCCCGCGGTTCTTCATGACCTGGATGTTGATAGGTGTGTGGATATCATGAGACAGAGCGCAGGTAGACCTAGAAGAGGTCGGAGCAGTCATAAGCCCAGGTGAAGGGGAGGAAAGAGGCTGGTAGGCCTAATTCTCTGCCTTCCGGCATTGCCCCAAATTCTGATAAAATTTAGGACTGAGGCAACTCCGTTTCCAGGAGTCATTTTCCCGTTCAGAGTAGACAACTCTAAAGTTAAGGGTAGGTACCCTTTCCAGGTTACTCATCTGTCTCGTAGGGACTAAAACTTGATCTTCAGACCGACAGCTGCTGATTTCTCATTGTCCAGCAACCCTACAAGAACTAGAAAGTCTCCCTCCAGGACTGCTGCAAAGCACTGGGTTTGGGAAGGACGCTTGGGCCAGGCCCTCACCCCATCCGGCCACCAATTTCCTGAGGTTGGACTAGACCAGTCTTTTAATCCCTAATAGGCTGTGATTACCAAAGGAGGGAGGAAGGAACAGAATGTCCCGGGGCATGGGGACCCTGAGATGTCCCTCATTCAGCACTCTACATGGGTGAACTCGAAAGTCCCAACAACGAGATTTAACCTGGCTGGTGGTGTGGTGCATCCTAGCATGCTGGGGCAGGGTCAGCAACCTTCTGGGAGCGATTAATAAATCTCAGTGGAGAGAACCTTCCATGTCACACCTCTCGGCGACAGAGAGCACGGCAACGGCCTGCGCCGCCGAAGGCCTTTGTCCCATCCTGCCCACCCGCGGCTAGCGGAGCAGCATCCGGAGGGCGCACCCACTGGGGACCGAGGACCCCACCCCTCACCAGCAGTCGCGGTGGGGGCACTTGCCCAGCATGTGGCGACGACACAAGTGCAGCTGGTCGCAGGCCTGGCACTCCCCGCGCTGGTAGCGGGCGCAGAGGCGAGCGGAGGACACGGCCACCACCCTGCAGGCCGTGGCGCCGCCGCCCGCGCCCGCGCCCGCGCCCACCGCCACCTCGGCCTCCGGGTCCCACGGGCCGTCGCGCAGCTCCACCTCCTGTAGCAGGAAGCGCTCGGGGCCCGCGCGCCGCAGCACCGCCCGCAGCTTCGCCTCCGACAGCTCCACGTGGCCGCGCAGGTCCGGCAGGAGCATGCGGCCGCCGTGGGCGCACAGCACCTTGGTGAGGAACGCGCACACCGTGAGATCCGCCATGGCCCGCGGAGCCCGCGCCGCGCGCCCCCGCCGGTCCCGGGGCCGGCAGGCTCCTCCCCGCCGCGACCGCCCCTGGGGCTCGTGAGCTGTCCGGGGGCCGGGCCTGCCCGCTGCAGAAACCCGGGAAGGTTGCAAAGACTATAAAGCGGTGATGTGGCGCGCCCAGCCTGGTGGCACACGCCTGCGATGCCCGCTCCTGGGGGGTGGAGGCTGGAAGAGCCAGAGGTCAAGCCCAGCGTTGGCTACATAGGGAGATGGAGGCTAGCCCCGGCTGCATGACACCCTGTCTCAGAAAAGTAAGAAATCGGCAGGGATGACATAGGGGGTAAAAGGCTCATACTTGAGTTGGGTCTCTGGAGCCCATGGAGGAAAGAGAGAATCAAGTCCGAAAAGTTGATCTCTGGCCTCGGCATGCGCGGATCTGCACTAACACACACACACACACACACACACACACACACACACACACACGCACGTTTTACATAGATGCTTACACACACTATGCACACGCATAATGAATGAAATTTAAAGACTTTTTTGAAAGGTGGTAAGGAAATGCCTGTGGCTGCTAATAGCTTTTGAATTGTGGTCAGTCCAAACTAGGAAGTGAAACACACACTAGATTTAGAATGGCAGGGAAAAAAATCTCAGTCTGGTGGCTAGGGATATAGCTCTGTGGACGACTAGCTTAACATTAGGGAAGTCCTGGGTTCCATTCCTGAGTAGCACATACCTGGGCCTGGTGGGCTTGCCTGTGGTACTAGCACTGGGCAGGTTGACACTGGAAGATGAGAAATTCAAGGTCATCCTCCAAAGTATGTCTAATGTGAGGACACCCTGTTCTACATGAGACTCTATCTAAAAAAAACCCTCAATTTTCTATGACTCAGAGTAGGGCTGGAGAGTTGGCTGAGCAGTTAAGAGTACTTGTTGCCCTTACAGAGGACAAGGGTTTGATCCCCAACACCCATGTGGTTGGCACGGTGAGTCAGGACCATCTGTAATGCCAGTCCCAGGAGACCCATACCCTCTTTTGACTTCCAAGGGTACCAGGCACACACGGTGCATTATACAAGCAACATACTCATACATATAAATAATAAAATTAATGATTTTTTTCAGTGATTACTGTAGAATCAGCGATGGATACAGACATTGAAAGGTTCAGGCATTACGCTGGCCTGCCCGTTACCTGGCAGAATGCACTCAGGCAGTTCTCTGGCCATCCCAGAGTTCCATGAGAACCAGTCTACACTCAGATGCAAAGGACCCCTTTAAAGGACAAACCCCTGCCCACTTACGCTCTCTCTCTCCTTCTTCTCTCTCATCATCTTTTCTCTCATCATCATCTCTCTCATCATCTCTTCTCTCTCATCTTCCTCTCTCTGTCATGTCTGTCTCCCCGCTTTCGGTCTCCCTATAATAAACTATGGTTAACATGCTCTCCATGGCTTGTGCTCCGTCCATTGCGCCAGTCCTTATTCCCTAATTAACAACAGACAGCATCTCCCCTGCCCCCAGAATTCTGGGTCTGTGCGGGCCATAATCAACCAGGAGCTTCCCTGGTGCCTTTGGCACCAGACAATCAGGTACCATCATAACACGTACTGTTTCAGATATCTAGGCTCGGGCATGGAAGAGAGGAAAAGCTACAACTCTGTGCCATCCCTCGTGGCTGGGATGGGCAGTATTCCACCAAGCACCACCTGTGACCCAGCCAAGAGCCCTGGTGATGGACAGCTGGTCACCACTGTGGTCAGAGAGTACAAGGTAGGGAGGTGGGAGTCAGGGGGAGGCGTTATGGTTTGTGGGCTGGTGACAGAGGCAGATCCGAAGAGGTGAGGTGGTGGGGAATGGGCTGATGTGAGTGGCCAGCTGGCCACCCAGATGCAGGGAGATGTCTGCGCCTGGGCCATGGCCAAGGGCCTGTTCTTGATTCGAGCAGCTGAGCGGCCTGTGTTGATGTCTGGGGCTCCTGTTATCACCGGGATCTGTACAGGGACCTATGATGGGGCCACATTGGTGTCTGAGGGCCATGCTGCCATGGGAGACATACCAATCAATCTGCCTAGCCGCCAGGGGCCATAGTGAGAAGCTGGGCTGTTGCCTAGAACCATGTCCGGGTTTATGGTCCTGTTGCATCCAGGGTCTGTGTTGATGTCCCTGGTCCATGTTGTCATCAGAGTCCACATGGATGCTCACATGGATGCTCAGGGTCTGGGCCGCAACCTGTGACCATGTTGGTGTCCAAGGACTGTGCGACAGCCAGTGCCAGGCCGACTTGGGTGGTCAGTGAAAGGTTCTGGCACTACACTGGCCTGCCCTGTTACCTGGCAGGATGCACTCAGGCAGCACTCTGGCCAGCCCAGAGTTCCGTGAGAACCACGTATGTGCAAAGGACCCCTTTAAAGGACTGACCCACCCCACCCTCCCAGCTTATGCTCTTTCTTCTCTCTCATCTTCCCTTACTCTCTCGTCATCTCTCTCATCTCTCACCCTCTCTTACTCTCATCTTCTCTTACTTTCTCTCCTCTTCTCTCTTACCTCTCTCTCTCATGTCTGTCTCCCCCCCCCTTCAGTCTCGCTGTAATAAACAATTAACATGCTCTCCATGGCTTGTGCTCCGTCCATTGCCCGGTCCTGATTCCCTAATTAACAACAGTCAGTGCTGTCAACGGGGGCATGCTATCTTCTGAACCAGGGCTGCAGCTGAGAGCCACACCTGAGTCTATGACCCAGCTGAACCCAGGGTCTGTGTTAGTGTCTGTAGCTCCTGAGACCATCAAAGACCATGCTGATGCCAGGGATCCAGGCCTCCACCCGGGGCCATGTTGATATCCAAGTGCCATCCTGCTTCAGGGCCATGCCAGTCCAGATGGCCTGCACTGCCACTTGGGACCGCGGTGATACCCAGGCTCAGGCTGCCGTCTAGGACCATAATTATATCTGAGGTCCTACCACAGCCAGGGTCTGTACTGATATCTGTGACTCACATTGCCACCAAAGGTCACATCGATGCCTGGGGTCTGGGTTACAACCTGTGGCTATGAGGGAATCCAAGGGCCATGCAGCCACCAAAGACATCCTGACCTGAGTGGCTTGTGCCGTCACCTGGGGCCACGGTGACATCCGTTCAGAGCTGCTATAGAGGGCCATGTCTGCGTCTGTGGCCCTACAGCAGCCAGGGTCTGAGTTCATGTCCAGAGCTCCTGTTGTCACCAAGAGCTATTTGGAGGACCAGAGCCTGGTTAGTCACAGTGTCTGAGAACTGTGCCACGATCAGGGCCAGGCTGACCTGGGGTGGGGGGTGCGGCGCTGTCACCTGGAGCCATAGAAACTTCCGGGTAGTATGGGCTGCTGCTTAGGGCCATGTCTGGGTCCTTGGCCCTGTGGAGGTCTGGGGTGGTGTCCATGGCTCTGCATATGCCCAAGGTCTTGCCAGTCACCTAGGACCATGTTGATGCCCGTGGCGGGGCCGGGTGCCTTGCCGATCTGAGGGCCCCGAGCTGCCACAGGGGCCGTGTTGAGCCTGGGTTCCTGCTGCAGCTGGGGTCCGTGGTGATGTCCACAGCCTGTGTCGGCATAGGGATCATTGGAGCCAGGCTGTGCTGGGCTAACCTTGCCCTTCACTGGCCCTGGGATGCATGGTTGGCCCTGCCCCTCCCTGCACATTGCAGCAGGAGTGCTGGCCCTACCCCTCAGGAGGAAAGATGACCCCCACGTGTCACCATAGGCGTGCACCTCACCTGGGAAGCACACTAGAACTGACCCCGTGATCCTGTGACACAGGGGACACAGGGGAGCCGTCCCTGAGGGCATGGGAACAGGAGAGTTGACTTGCCCCGTCCCCATCGGCCCTGTGGCGGCATGGATGAGGGGAAGGGGGAGGTGGCCTACCCCCTCACCCATTGCCACCTTGGGCAGGGGAGAGAGCTGGCCCCGGGGGCCTTTAGCCTCTCTGGCTGCAGTAAGAGACAGCAGCCTCTGCTTACTGCCTGGGCATCACACTAGAGCTGACTCCGGTGTGGTGAGCCAGCCCTGAAGGCAGAAGCGTGGACTCCGCCTCTCTCTATGCCCCGCCTACAGCAATCAGGGGAGAGGGCATGGGCAAACAGTAGAGCCGGCCCTGCAGGTAGGAGTGTGGGGACCTGGATTTGAGGGCCTGTGGGCAGGAGAGCTGGCCCCTCTCTCTGTGGTAGGCAGCCCTGGGTGAGCGAGCCGAGGCAGCGCTGGAGAGCTCATCCGGGTAGTAGCAATGATTGAACGCTGGCGAACTGACCAACCCAGCCACCACCCAGGCCCAGAACCAGGGTTGTGAGTTGGTCCACTCCAAGGTCCACCTCATTTGTGAACAGCTGGAGGACGAGAAAGAGGTAAACCTATAGATCCAAAACGGCAGGATCTCCATGACAGAAAACAACAGGATATCCAAGAGGAGCCCCAGCAAGAGCCCATCCCTGGCGGTGTAGCGGAAGCCAGAGGCCTCGAACCAGACCAATGACTCAGAGCAACATACACAGATAAAGATGGAGAGGCAAAGGGTGAACTGGACTCACTGAGCCGCACTACAGTGTCCGCGGCGACAGTCCTCCTTTTGTTGCTGTTATCTTTGTTTTGGTTCTTTGGTTTTTTTGGGTTTTCTTTTAAATTTGGTTTTGTTTTTGGGGGGAGGTTGCAAGAGCAGAAGGCAGATTCAAGGGTACAGAGAGGTAAGTGGGATCAGAATGCGTGATGTGAAATCCACATAGAATCAATAAAATTAAAATTAAATAATAAATAAGCCAGACAGTGGTGGTACACGCCTTCAATCCCAGCACTCGGGAGGCAGAGGCAGGTGGATCTCTGTGAGTTCGAGACCAGCCTGGTCTACAGAGCGAGTTCCAGGATAGACTCCAAAGCTACACAGAGAAACCCTGTCTTGGAAAACCAAAAAAAAAAAAAAAAAAAAAAAAAAAAGAAAGAAAAAAGAAGGGATTGCTGTTTGTGATATAATCGAGTAACAAAATGTTGGGAC